ATTATAGCAAGAAATGAACGTAGCACCAACATAGGTTATTGGGGGTAATTCCCCCCCCCTCCCCCGCCCCACCCCGAATCTTTGGGATATAAGTATCCCCTTCTAGAAACTAGATCTATATGTCCATGATTACCAAAAAAGGAAAAAATAAAAATAAAAATTTGGCGTTTGTGCATCATTAAACTGTATCAACTTAATCAAAGTAACAACAGAAAAATGGGTGTTAGGTACTTTCCCAAAGACCGATTCCCTAGGTCAACTTCCCAAGTGACAATTTCCTTTAAGAGGCAACTTCCCAAATGTGCCATTTCCCAAGGGGCATCTTTCCAAATGTACATTTAAGGTTAGGTTAGGACTTCTGAGGCACCGCATCTGAAAAGGTATTGTTTTGGCTCACAAAGGGTAACAAAAAAATATTGCCGCTCCGCGCTGTAAAGGAGTTGAGTTTTTGCCACAAACTCTGATTTTCTAATCTCTATATATCTTTGTACCCCAATGTCTTAGACCTTAAATATTTCAAACTATTGATACTTAAGATAAAATAATCTAAGTTTAAAATATCAAAGGTTTGCACCATCAGGTTGCAAAGATATTGGGATAAGAAGATTTGAGTTTGTGGCAAAAACTCAATTCCTTTATTTATTAAACTTGAATATTTTATCTCAACTTAGGAATAAAGATAACGGGGGGGGGGGCAAAATAAAAATGATGACACTGATTAGACGTATGTTTTACATATGTACATGGCCAAAATCCAAAGCTATTTATTTGGTATAAACATGCAAAATACTATTTTTTGGAAAATTGGAAAATATGTTATAATTGCTTTATTTTTTTATTAGTTTATTAATACTAAACATATTCGATTACAGATATGAAAACGTTTGTTCCGTCTCTTAATTATCATCTCAATGTTAGTGAATGTATTCTGTATATCTGGGTGCCGGAGGTGCCTTCAATTTGCACGCTAATTCCATGGCAAATTGCAGGCTTGCAAATACACCAAATATAAACCAAATATGAGTATATCACAGATTCAACCCTGGAAGTTAGATTTTAAAAACATGAATTAGGCAACAGGGGAAATCATATTTTGCAATAAAAGGATTTAAACATTCTTCCCAATGATTCCAATGGATTCTGATTTAAACTACTGATTACAAATAGCTCATCATTTTTTTGAATCAATATAAATCCCCCGTTTCCACGAAGAACTATGGTTTTCATGGTGTAAGATGGTTGTTTGATATATTTGAAGCGGAACCAATTTATAAATCCTCAATATCTCAGCTGATTGAGCAATAGAAAATATATATTAGGATATATATATAAATGTTATACAAGAAGCTCTATGAGAAAATTATAAAACTAATCATAGATAAAGCTTGCAGGGGGAATACTCTACTACATTAGATTTACCAAGAAATCTATACACAAGAAATCTTTATAAAAAATTGAAGAAAAAAAGTTTACCGCAGTTTGTGGGACGTATATGGAAACCCAATTTCCATTTGTTCCCTTTTTATATATTTATATTATTTATTTAATGAATATAGATATTATTACTAGAAAAACTAAAATTATGTGTTATTAAAAGGTTCACGTCGTGACAAAAAATTGATGATAAAATAATTAGTTACAGAAATAAATTTGGCTAAGTTCTTATTTCTCTGTCACTAAAAATACATTAATTACTAGAATCAAATTAAAGTGGACAAAATCAAAATGTCAACAAAGAAAAAAGTTAAATATTTCATAGCAATAGCTAATTTTCGGGTGATTATATATTCATGTATAAACATATTTTCATAATTATCTAAAGGTCAGTTTCAGTCCTTTTAATCAAAATACTTTAAATGCTGTAGAGTTGATAATTTCACAAATCCTTGCATTTATTAATTTTACGTTTCCTAACCTATGAACGTATAACTATTACATTTTCAATTCAATAAAGCATCTTTTTAAAACTAAACAATTTTCTTTAGAATTTCCAAAAGGTGAAAATAAAAACTCAATGTATGTAGAATGTAGGTATGAGTTTTGCATTTTTCTATTTGTATGCATTGTTGAGTTTAGATCAATCATCAATCATAAACCTGCAAATGAATTGATTCTTTGCCACAAACTCTGATTTTCTAATTTCTATATCTTTGCAACCCAATATGGAATACCTTAGATATTTCAAACAATAAATTCTGTTAGGTCAAATAATCTAAGTTTGAAATATCAAAGGTTGCCAATATATAGTGATTAGAAAATTTAAGTTTGTGTCAAGGCCTCAATTCCAAGTTTGTTAGAAGATCGTGATCCTTCGTATCCCCTTAAAACATATCAATCAACAGAAAAGTATAAAAATATGAATAATGTTTATTCGATTGAGATATAAATGCTAAACATCTCCATTTAACAGAGTCGACATTGAAGCCTTTCTAATTATCTAACAGAGATATCCTCGTGTTGACTATTAATTTAATTTAACAATTGTATTATTAAAAAGAATTTTTATATTTAACGCCTAACCTTTGTAGTGTGTTGTTGCATGATTTGTGTATGTGTCTGTCTTATGATATAATCAACCCTTTAACGGTAAGGGCATATGTATGAATTTATAAAATATATCAGATTATTTGTCAAATATTGAACACTCACATAATATCCGTCCATGTTGTATATATTTGTAGGAGATGTGCTCGTCTCTAAACATGCAATGTAAAGTCGATTGATAATATAGAAATTGGAATAAATCGACCAGGAAGCGAATTTACGTGCACAATCAGCACAGTTTTAATTGCTTATATATAACTTAGTAGAATGCTTAAAAATATAAGATATAAAAGAAGAAATGGATAGACATATAAATAAATGTATCTTTATCAGAATTAATAAATTGTATTTGAACTTCACTGTAAAATCCTGTTTTTACGTACACTATCTGAATATCCGTGGTTCCCAAATCTAAGGGAAATTATCTTTTTTCTGCCCGTTTGTGTAGGCAATTGAATCCTTGCCACAAGTTAACATTTTCTTATCCCAATATCGTTGCAACCAAATGGCGTCGACTTTTGTTATTTCAAACTATGAACTCTGTTGGCTCAAATTAACTAAGTTTGAAATATCAAAGGTTTATTTCATCAGGTTTCAAATATATAGGCAATAGAACATTTTAGTTTGTGGCAAATACTCAATTCCTTTATTCTGTAATCTTTGACTAAAACATTTGTAGTCATTTAATATTAGATTCATAGTATTTCTAAGGTTGCATATATTAAAGCTTCACGGCACAGTGTGCTAGATATTATATTAATCAGGATACATTATTGTATCATTAACAATTTTTGAATTTCGAACCCGCAGTCTAAACAAAAAAGCTTTTCACTGTGCAAAGAAATCTAATTACGAAAGCCTTTTCTATACTTTAAACCTTTAAATTTTTCTCTTCTTTTATCTCTACTATTATTTTATCCCCTATATTCCCTTCCAATTCTCCTAGAAACCAGAATTGACAAAGTTTCGATGAAGAGAAATGAACTTTGTTTATAAAGTTATTTTCATCATTTGTCTCAATTTCAGATCTAACCCAGGGAGGATATATGAAATGGAGAATGAATTTATCCGATCCACCTGAGCTGAAAACTTTAGAATGTGATATCCTTAATCCCGATCTGTTAATTAATCTGGAGATTGAATTCATGGAAAAAAATAAGCAATATTTAATCTGGAGATTAAGAAAAAGAGTGGATTAAGCATTACTCCTAATATCCACCATTCTAAAGCTCCCAGCTCTGATCACATATCTTTGTAGATGGTCCTCTATTTGATTTGATGTGATCTGAGACATATTTTAATGACACATTTTGAGTAATTTAGCTAGACATGAAGTAGACATTATAGCTGAACCACATCTCCAGTGTGCCTTTAATACTGAGAAAAGTAGTTGAACTAAGTCTACGTAGTTCAAATATGTCTCCGTATTAATTAAAATCTGGCTCCTGGGCAGATAGTATAGTGAAGTTTGGGCGAATAAAGGATACTAAATAAAATTAAATAATGGAGTTAAGGGGCGAAAAGGCTGGGGATGGGGGGGGGAGTACTGTAGATGAGGAGAAAGGGGGGGGAGTTACCATTAGCTCCAGTCTTCAGGAAGATGGAGACAAGTTTAAGGCAACTATAGTAATTATAAATGGAGGCATGTTTAATTTTCATGTTCTTGTTGTTGTGAAGTGGTAGGATGGAACCAAGATAGATCTGTATTTACTTAATTTAAAGTTTCCTTGGATAAAGTTGATTAGCTGGCCCGTAATCTGGTTTCAGAGTGTGAGTAATCTGATATAGAAGTTAGAGTAATCTGTTGGTTCTGTCTCAAAGGTTGTAACCCAACCTTACTCCTCTGTCAGGATAATCTAATAAGGAATCTCTCTTAGTACTCTAGGTGTCTCCTCAATACAATATCAATATCTCTATACTAACGGAATGGGAATTATTTAAAAAAATCTTTATTCAAGAATTTAAAATGACATATTTATTATAATAATATTAATATTAATTGTATTAATCAATTAATTGATCCTTTGGTTAAAAAAGAGGTTAAATCTAGGTTTTTGAAGAAAAATTAAGTTTGTTTTTTAAAAATGTAAAAAGCTTGGAGAGGTAAATTTCATTTATTTGAATCAAGAAGTTTATGGGATTGTTTTAAAAAGAATTTTAAGGACGTAAATAAAAAGTAATTTCAACGAGGGGGGAAAATGAATACTAAATATTACTCTGCATACTACAGTGTTCCTATGCCAAGTATACATAACCCTAATTATATTTGCTTCTATGACTGACTGATGCCTTATGCTTGCATAACTAGCTATCTATCTTTCTTTCAGTGATGTGCGAGTCTCCGTGTCAAATTGACTGAAAAAGATATATTTGAAAAGAGGTCTGATAACATTCAAGGTATGGGCATCTAAAAGAGATGGAGGGGGGGTTAGCAAACAATCGATCAGTGGTAAGGGGAAAATACTTTTGTGGTCTTTTAAAAAAGGAAGCAATTTTTGGAATTTGGTTCGTCAATGTTTAATCGTTCCATATGGACGGTAATGAATTGGAAATGATCAGTGTTATTTATAGATCTTTAAGATAAAACGTTTAATTAGGCTCAATTTTTCTAGTTAGTAGGGGAAAACCAGCTATTCTCAAATATCTGTCATTCTTTATTTATTTACTACAAAATAGATCTAAATGATGAAGATTGTGGATAAGTATGTGCAGAAGCTTTTCTCCCGTAATTAAACATTATTAAATTTTCAGAATTTGCTTGCCTGATGATTTGTTACATTTCTGACCACTGCACTGCACAACTGTGTTAGATACCTGCATGAATGCTTGCCTGAATAATCTAGGAAGTCCCTGTCAGCTTTGTTTAATATTATTGCATGCCTGCTTGTCCAGGCAGCAGGTTTATGTGAAGAAATATATTCATACATCTTCAAGTTTACCGCCTAAATCATGCAACCGATACGCATCTATGCTTTCGCACATTCTACAAAATGCATACACCCGAGAAATATAATTGAGAAAGTTGTAGTGTTTTTAATATATTGTATATCTGAAATACATGTCAATATGTTTATACTGTATGCGTATACCCTTTTTAAGGTCACGATGATGTTCTAACTCTCTACCAATTAACCCTTTCTCCGTCCTAAAACTGATAAACCGGAAATATCTGACAAACAACTAGCCAAAATATCCCTCCCACCTTTTGCGAGCAGTACAAATTAAAAGAAAATAACATTTTGCGCTTCATATATCTTGTTTATGTCCAAAGATAATCATTATCAAAGTTTACATAAAGATACTACTACTACTAAAAGGGGCGCAAAGGGGGGAGGATATTTGGATATTTAAAACAAAAATTCAAGTAAGGTATGTTAAAAATTAAGAGAGGCCGAAATATAAAGATTCGTTGCAGGACGAGTTAGAAAGAATCTTGGTAGGACGAATAAGATAAATTCATGGTAGGATGCATTAGAAAGGTTCATGGTAGGACAGATGTAAAGGTGGGATATATGGTGGGACGGATTAGAAAGGTTCGTGTTAGGACAGATGTAAAGTTGGGCTAATGGACATGGTAGAACGAATTAGCAAGGTTTATGGTAGGAAGGATGTAAAAGGTGGGATAATTTACATAGCAAAACGATGGTGTCCTACCAGAAGTCTTTTTAATTCGATGCAAAAGTGGGATAATGGAAATAGTAGAACGAATTCAAATGGCCCGAGGTAGGACTGATGTAAAGGGGGAATAATGGACGTGTTAGAACGGATAAGAAAGGTTCTGGGTAAATGGACATGGTAAAACGGATTAGCAAGATTTGTGGTCGGAAAGGTCAGATAATGGACATATTAGAACGGATACGAAAAGTCCTGGTGGGATAATCAACACGGTAGAAAGGATTAAACAGGGTTTGAAAGGTTCAGGTAGGACGTATGTAAAAGTGGGATACCAGAGATGGTAGAACCGATCAGAATGAATCATGGTAGGATGTATTGACTCCTGGTCCCACCTGGTCCACCCTATACTTAGATACACTTTTCATCCTATATCTAAATATACTCTCCATCCTATACCTAGATATACTCTCCATCCTATACCTAGATATACTCTCTATCCTATACCTAGATATACTCTCCATCCTATACCTAGATACACTCTTCATCCTATATCTAAATAAACTCTCCATCCAATACCTAGATATACTCTCCATGCTATACCCAGATATACTCTTTATCCTATACCTAGATATACTCTCCATCCTATACCTAGATACACTCTCCATCCTATACCTAGATATAAATACTCTCCATCCTATACCTAGATATACTCTCCATCCTATACCTAGATACACTCTCCATCCTATACCTAGATATATATACTCTCCATCCTATACCTAGATATATATACTCTCTATCCTATACCTAGATATACTCTCCATCCTATACCTAGATATACTCTTCATCTTATTCCTAGATACACTCTTCATCCTATACCTAGATATACTCTCCATCCTATACCCAGATATACTCTTCATCCTATACCTAGATATACTCTCCATCCTATACCTAGATATACTCTCCATCCTATACCTAAATATACTCTCCATCCTATACCTAGATACACTCTCCATCCTAAACCTAGATATACACTTCTTCTTTTACCCAGATACACTTTTTATACTATAGCTAAATATATATGCTATACCAACATATACTCTCCATCCTTTACATAGATACACGTTTCATCCTATACCTGGATATACTCTTTATTCTAAACATAGATATACTCTCCATCCTATACCTAGAAATACTCTCCATCCTATACCTAGATAGACTCTCCAACCTATACCTAGATAAATTCTCCATCCTATAAATAGATATACTCTTTATTCTAAACATAGATATACTCTCCATCCTATACCGAAATATACTCTTCATCCTTCACCTAGATATACCTTCCATCCTTTACCTAGATATACTCTGCATTCTATACCCAGATATACTCTTAATCCAATACCCAGATATACTCTTCATCCTATACCTAGATATACTCTCCATCCTATAACTAGATATACTCTTCATCCTATACCTAGATATACTCTCCATCCTATACCTAGATATACTCTTCATCCTATACCTAGATATACTCTCCATCCTATAACTAGATATACTCTCCATCCTATACCTAGATATACTCTCCATCCTATAACTAGATATACTCTTTATCCTATACCTAGATATACTCTCCATCGTATACCTAGATACACTTTACATCCTATACCTAGATATACTCTCCATCCTATACCTAGCTAAATATAATCTCCATCCTATACCTAGCTAAATATAATCTCCATCCTATACCTAGCTAAATATAATCTCCATCCTATAAGTAGATACTCCTTGATATACTCTTCTTTCTAAACCTACCCTTATGTGAGTCCAGTATTAGTATATATGGTGCTTGTGCACTGATATAACCATCTATACAATCTACACTTTTAAACTACGTAATGCAGAGATATTTGGCGTTTTAAAGAATATCTAGACAATTAAGCCAGAGCTGAGATTGGTGAGCTGTCGCACAATACTTAAGATCGCAAATTATGATACGATTCAGTGGCGGCGTGCATATTCATTTTGAGGTGACAGTCAACCACAAATACTAGTCCAATAAACATTTGCAGGTATAAACACATAACCTAGAGACTACACTTATTCAATATGCATTACATAATCACAATCTGCCTAATGACATTTTATATGGTATTCGTAGTGTGGCGATAAGTATATAAAAAGTTGATCCTCTCTAACCCTGGAGTGAAAAGTTTAAGCTATCGTTTAGATCTTTACTGTTCAAACCCTCGGGAGAAGATTACTTGGATATCTTGGATCTCAGGTTAACCTTTAATATTTAGATATCTCTATACACCCTTTGTATACATTGAATACCTGCAGATCAAAAACCTTTTTCTTGGTATATTTGAAAATAACATTTAGTTGTGACTTAAACGAATTCAAATCGACATCTTTATTTTAAAAAAATTAAGGATCCGTAAAATACTCATGGAAACGATTCATGTTTCAAAGGAATTGAGTTTTTGTCACAAACTCAGATTTTCTAAACCCAATATCTCTGCAACTGGATAGTGTAAAACTATGATATTTCAAACTCAAATTATTTGATCTACCAGTATTCATTGTTTGAAATATCTAAGGTCTACGACATTGGGCTGCAAAGTTTGAACGATTGAAAAATTTTAGTTTTTGGCAAAGACTCAATTCCTTTGAAATACAACTACGGGATTCACTGAACCTCTCCGCTCCCTCCGAAAACGTGTATATGTCCATTTCTCATTACAAACAGATTTGATATTCGTAACAATCATATTAAATCCAATTCTTACTTACTATCTTAAACCTCTACTTCTTCATCTCATCTACTCTGTTCTCGAGCAACAGCTCCGGCCTTTCCAAGGGGAGGCCGTGTTTTTCAAGATCTATTTTTGCCAGGTGGTTCTCGGTCGTATTCTGGTATTTCTGCCATTTTTAGTCATAAGCTACAGCTGTGCTTTTTAATGCAAAATAAGATATGTTTTTTCCCCTTCAATTCAATTCTAATTCATCCCTCATCCATTTTGATTTCAAGTAAATGATTCTTTTGCAAAGGTTTTTCAAGCCTAAAATCAGGATGTTATTTTACTTAATAATCTTAGTGATTGTAAAGTAATTAACGAAATATCCCGCTTTGAATAATTCCAATTATGAGACAGCGAAGTAACATATACTGCCTCGCCATAAAGTAATAGAAGTAATATGTGTCCAACAGTATTTTGGAACCGTAATTTATAGCATTGATTTATATATGTTTTTTTAATAATTCGATCATCAAGACGATGAAGAGTGGAATAAGTTTGTGTAAAAGACCACAGAAGAAGAAAAGAAAAGCTGTGTTAAATTATGAAGGTAAGAGGACCTTGGGGTATATATTTAAGTGATTTAAGTGACCACCATGCAAATAAGGCAATGCACGATTCACAACAGTACCCTTAAAAGCTTTGTCTGATCAAGGTTATAATGCAAGGAAAGTTTAATGCGTTCGCATATACTCTGCGTACATATTGAAACCAGTTCTCTCTGGGCGGACTTTGTAAACAAGAATAGATGCATCAGTGTTCGTTTAGTATCCGAGGAGGTTAAAAGCATTTAATTTTGATGATTTTGAAAATTCACATATTAATTTCCTATTACCAGAATATTTCATAGATTATTTTTGTGAAAATGGATTCCATGTCAGGCTGTGACATCCGTCTTGTGCTTACTTTCCGCCCAAAGACAGTACAAAAAAATCGTACACCTCTGAAATAACTTTCCTTGCATTAGTACCTTGTGTCTGATCAAGTATGAATTACATATTAATGTTTTTAATAGTGCTCTACTAAAGTGACTTGCGCATTTATAGTGCAGGAAAACATTTAGAAATCATCAGAGTCAAACACTTTTTAAACCTAGAAAAATAACAATATTTTCCACATTATTGATCAGATAAAGGTTTCAATGGTACCGTTGTGAATCAGGCATTGCCATCTTCGCTTGGAGTCACGGAGTGTCACCTGAAATTACGCGTACAGTAACTATAATTATTATAGATGAGATTGATATAACCAAAACCCAAGTTGACGAATCAATGGACGAGGAGGATAAGGGAAAGAATGAACAGAACATCGTCCAGTGCTCGGAAGAAAGTTTAAATGATGATAGAATTAAACCTTGCAGCAAGGTTGATAACCAATCATTCATGTATATTAAAAACTATTCTACTAAACAAATAAAAAATTTCAACCCTGAAGTTGATGATTGATTGGACTCTAACTGATAGACAGAAATCACTCAAATTGGCTGGACAGTGCTCAGAGATCCTAAGGTACACCAAGTAAATATTGAATCTATGCAGAGTTTTCCTACATTGATTTATGTCTTAACTATATAAACATAATTCGGAGGCCTGATACGAACTTACTCTATACTTACAAAGGAATTGAGTCTTTGCCACAAACTAAAATTTTATAACTCCCATATAATTCAACCTATAAACCTTTGATATTTCAAACTTAGAATATTTGATCGAACAGAATTCATATCTAAGGTCTACGACATTGGGTTGCAAAGTTAAAAGATTTATAAAATTAAAGATCAAAGGCTCAATTCCTTGATTAGATTAACTGTTTAGCTTTTCTTTACCTTTTCTTTGGAAAGGATAGAAGAAGGAAGACATCCAACCTCAATAATCATCTTTCTAAATCCGTCGTCTTGCTCTGTGTGAAGCAACCAGCTTACCAAAACCTAGTTTCTGTTTCTAAAATACTATCAACATTTTACGAGTGTAGGAAGAAAGCAGCATCATCGGCGTGGTACCGGAGACCCGTCCCACCGGAGACCCCAGCCGCTACCATACCGGAGACCCCAACATTGTCAACGGTGACCCCAAAGTTTTCATCGGAGACCCCAAATAAATAATTAACATTTTTGAAAATGTAAATTGGTTTTTATGGCATAAAAACCTATATAAATTCATTTTATCATAAACTTTTAAATTTCGATATTATTTTATGCATTTACACAGAAATCTACAACATTTTTTAAAAAATTTAAAAATTATCGTGCGTGTTTATTATTCGTCTCTTTATTAGACTTTACGCCCTCCCCCTCCCTCTCTCCCTTTCTCCTCTATATTCATCCCCCGCCCCCCCCACCCCACCTCTCCTCCTCCTCCTGTTCCGGTATCATTCTATTTATATAAAGTTGTAATCTATAAAATGCATCAAACTATATCCAAATGTAAAAGCTTAAGATAAAATAAATTTTTTTACATTTTATACAATCAAGAGCATTTAAAATTTTCAAAAATGTTAACTATTTTATTTGGGGTCTCCGATGAAAACTTTTGGGTCACCGTTGACAATGTTGGGGTCTTCGGAATGGTAGCGACTGGGGTCTCCGGTGGGACGGGGTCTCCGGTATGGAAGCGGCTGGGGTCTCCGGTGGGACAGGGTCTCCGGTAGCCCTCCGGTGATGATGCTTTCTTCCTACACTCACATTTTACCCGTTTTGCAAAGCGGAATTTGATTTTTTTTCAGGAATTGCTTGAGGCTGGCCATCCTTTTAAGAAGGAGGAGACTTCTTATAGGTCACATAAAATTGTAAGTTCCATTTTTTATAGAAAGATATCTTCATCAAGGTTTTTTTTTAGCTATGACTGACTTAACACGTTAAGAATTAACTCTTAAAGATGTTTTGATTTTTTAAAACATTATGCATAAATTTTAGTCAAAAAATGTGTACTAATATTTTTTTTTAGGTAGGAGAAGAGAAAGAAATAAAGATTAATCACGAATTAGAGCTAGTTGAACACTTTAAAACTGAAAATCTGTTTTCAGTCAATATTAACCAGGTTATAAATCAGGGAACTCCAACCAGATACACTGATAATATCCGTAATTGTAATAATCTTTCACCACAAGATAGCGGATTTGAATCATCTTGTATACATTTCTCCAACTCCTCCAACTGCAGTGAACTTAATGAGGTGAAATAAAATGACAAATCATTACATTTAAAGTTTCTTATTAAAGCTAAATAATTAGTGATCATTTCTACAGATTTTATTTATGGTATCGGGAGATTAAATACTTGTGTGTTTAGATTGTTTGCAGCCTATAACAGACACGAGATCTTTGGTTAAAATTCTTTCAGCTTGGAACAGAGATGATCATTACTAAAACTGGAAGGTGATTTATACAAATCCTGTTATTTGGAGTAAATTCCATTAAGCTTACAATTTAAATTTCCTGATTATGTCTTCCACATTTTGTTGGGAGGTATTAAAGCGATTATTGATTAGTTAAGCGGTAATTCTGAAATTATTTAAAGTCCTCTAAACAAAGACTAAGTATTTGCTACAAACTCAAATTTTGCATTCCAAATTTTTTTGCAACCTGAGCTGAAAACTTAGGAATGGGATATCCTTAATATAATCACGATCGGTTAATTAATCTGGATATTAATAACAAGAGGAGAACAAGCATTATTTAATCTGGAGATTAAGAAAAAGAAAGGATCAAGCATTGATCTCGATATCCACCATTCTAAAGTTTTCAGCTCTGATTATGTAAATCTTTAATCTTTCCAACTTGGATTATTTAATCTAACAGAGTTCATATTTTGAAAAATCTATGACATATGGGAATAGAATAAGACTCAATTTCTTTATTTGATCTCGCAAATCAACAAACAAAAGCACATAAATTTATTTTTCCTTCAGAAAGGCTTTTCACACTTCTTTTAAAATAAACAACTTCGGATACATTTTTTTCTCCAACACATAAGCCGTAATTGAGTGGGCGGGAACTTGGTGGTCGCCCCCACCTGTGAATCTCCAGAGGGGATGCACCGCCGTTCGCCCCCTCCCGTGTAGGAATAGATTCTCGCTCAATAAATCAATTTTTCAAAGATTTTTCAAAGCATTTTGTCCGAAAGGTTGAATTCAGTCAGAGTGTATTTTGCAGTTTGCTAGAAAAGAAAAAGGTTTTAATAATAACTTAGTAAAATTTTAATATAAGTTAGATATCATAAAATTCAAAGTCATGTACTTAAGATATGATAAAATTTAAGCTGAATTGAACAGTTTCTAAACAAATAAGGAAAATCTTCTCTTACTAGAAAACGTCTAATTCAAGCTAAGATGACTAGTTTTCAAATACCCAGTAATAATCTAGCTGGGTTTAATAACAAAATTATGATTGCTATCAATCACTTATACGTTTCACTCTCGGTGTGCCACCTATAAGAATCTCCCAGTTATGACCCTGCATTTATTTTTGGCAGTTTATACAGGAGGCATTCAAGCATTTGGGAGTTCTAGATAGCTTAGGAATAAAATTTTTAGGGGAAAAAATGAAATTTTATTTAGTGGAACTAGACATTTTGAGACAACACAAAAATAAGAGCATTGATTACTGATTAGGATTCAAAACTGCAGGAACGTTATGAATTCATCCTTTTTTGAATCCATATCCCCAAGTTTTTACAAACGAAGAACTAGAATTTCTATAAAAAATTGAGAAATAAAGAATATCCTCCCCCTTATTCTTTCCTTTCTCCCTCTCCCAACTCCAATTCTAATCCGTGTGTTCACTGGGTTGGATAATTGTAAACACTAAAATTATTCTAATTCCTCTGTTTGACGCCCCTAATGGACACATTTGCATTCTCTACTCCTTTACGGGGATATGGAGAAGTCAAAACATTTAAATAACTTTAATTTAACTCTAAGCATAGAATATAGTACAAAGAGACAGAACACTTTTACGATTTAGAATTTAAAATTTACAATATTCATAAATAATTTGATAATTTGTTCAAATAGGTCTTTTCAATTACGGACAGGAAACATTGATAATTCAAGAGTGTGAAAGCCTTAGAATTATTTTGCTTTATCCTAAATGGACAAAATATAAGACATTGAGCTACTTTTGATCCAATTATGGAGATTTAAGGCTAAACTATAACCGCAGAATTTATTTAAGCCTAAAATTTCAATGGTGGTTTTAAAGATTCCCCGTTTTAAGATTTGTATGAGTGCAACCACTGAATTTCTAGGCTTGGTCAATTATCCAACACAATAATTTCCAGCTCAGGGTGCATGTTTAGTAATTTGTATTGTAATTCAAATATGAATTTAACAAATAAACACAGAATATGTATTTATACATTATTTTTCTAACAAACCAGGTAAATTATTTTACAAAACCGAGACATTAACGGTTAAGCAAACGATCTCTTCTCATTTAAAGAGTCGGTGATTTTTATTGTCCTTCTCATTTTAAATTTAAGTTTCGGGTTTACAACTTTTCTAACTCAGGATTTTGAGAAAAACATCCCTCTTTTTATTTCTATACTAATATGATCTCAAAAAGTAATTCGCAAAATTTTAATCGATTTTTGCGTAAGAGCTTGCAACCTTCTAATAACAGTGTTAAGTAATAGTAGGCTTCAAGTAACAAAATAATCCTTTAAATGTTTCAATTTAATCCACCATTTTTTCTTTGTAGTTGTAAAGCTCTAAATTTCACAGATTTTTTTGTTTAAATTGGTGGATTTTCAAAAACCAGCAGCATTTTTTTCCAGACCAAATTTTTTAATTTTTACCAGCCATAAACCTTCTCTGGGATCATGCAAGTTGACACAAAAAAATTGGGTCGGATTGATTCAGCCGTATGACGGATATCCATGATAAATTGATATATTTTTAATTTAAAAGATATAAAAAAGCTTCTAAATGCAGTTGTAACCGCCCCACGTACTTTTACTTATAATTGCAGAACAATTGTGAAATAGAATCACCGCTGATAACGTATTTTCTGTACTATCGATACGGTTTCTAGATCAATATTTTCAAGGTTTTATAAATTAACTAGCTCAAGCTCAATAAAAATTTTATGATTATGCATAAACTTAACAATAACATCTTGAAGAATAGATAAGTAAGGATTAAATTTTATCGACAAACTTGGGTTTTCAGGACCAATCATTATAATGGAGAATGTTCAACAAAAGGGTTAGAAACAAACTTCTTAAAGGGACTGTAAAGGAAAAATGAAAAGGGGTTTAGGATGAAACCTGAGAATCTCAGGCGTTAAACGATACATATAAAACATCTATCTGATGTTCCTGTCTCAATAAATTGATATATAACTGTGTTTTATCATTCTTTTTAGGGAATCCAATATTCAACAATCTTTTTATGTAAAGAATTTATAAAATTAAACTGGCTGTAGTTCCCGACCATGCCCGTGAAAAAAAATGTTTAAAAAACAAAGTTTAAAAAAAAATTTGAAAAATCGAATATGACGCCTATGACACCCCCAGGCTACTCATGAGTGTCCACAAAAAATGTCAGCCCATTCGGTCCAGCCTTTTGGCCGGCTATAGGGAAAATATATACGAATGTCTTGTTTTATTATATAGGTAACGTCTGAAAAGATTAGTATGAAATATTTAACAATACCAATAATATAACATAAAATGTTTAATACGCATATTTGATACTCTGTCTTTATATACATAATTAAGTCAAAACGAGTTGTCTTAACTTGATTATTTAATAACAACTAAAAGTTGAAAATCAAGACTTCAGCCACTTCAAGCCTTACAATACATGTAAGCTTTGAATTTCACCCGTCGTTTATTATTTCTTTGGAAACTGAAATCTTATAAAATTTATTTTCATTGTAATGTAACTATGCGATATTTACATTTTTTACACTGTTTCTGTTAAATCCTTCAAATCCCGATGGTTTGATAAAATCTATAACATTGAACCCCAAAAGTAAACCTCTTATTAAAAAAGTTGAACATTTTTAAACAAGTATTAAATTAATTAATTAAGCATTTGAGCAGCATAACTTATATTTAAAAACATAGCATAAATTACGATATCAATATATTTTCAAAAAAACAGTAAAATAAAACATTAAATTGTACAGAATCTAAAGTAGAGAGAATCTATCAAAATCAAATCCAATTCTGAACCACAGCAAAGTCAAGCAAACTTTCTTTTAATTTGAACTCTTGCATGGTTTTAAACACTACTCCTTTATCTGAAGAGCCAATCCCAGTCTAGTCTAAAATGTCTTCTTTATGTTAAGCTTGGAGTTCTTTACGTAGTGGTTGGAGTAGAACTCTAAGGTCTAGAGTTCTTTTTGTAGAGGTTGGAGCAGAACTCTGGAGATCTGGAGTTCTGTGTGTTGAGGTTAGAGTAGAACTCTTGAGGTCTGGAGTTATGTATTTTGACGTTGGAGTAGAACTCTGGAGGTCTGGAGTTCTGTATGTTGAGGTGGGAGTAGAAGTCAAGAGATCTGGAGTTCTGTATATTGACGTTGGAGTAGAACTCAAGAGATCCGGAGTTTTCTATGTTGAGGTTGGAGTAGACCTCTGAAGATCTGGAGGTCTCTATGTTGAGGTTGGAGTCGTACTCTGAAGATCTGGAGTTCTCTATGTTGACTGTTGAGGTTGGAGTAGAACTCTGAAGATCTGGAGTTCTTAATGTTGAGGTTGGAGTAGAACTCTGAAGATCTGGAGTTCTCTATGTTGAGGTTGGAGTAGTACTCTGAAGATCTGGAGTTCTTAATGTTGAGGTTGGAGTAGAACTCTGGAGATCTAGAGTTCCTAATGTTGAGGTTGGAGTAGTACTCTGGAGATCTGGAGTTCTTAATGTTGAGGTTGGAGTAGAACTCTGGAGATCTGGAGTTCTTAATGTTGAGGTTAGAGTAGTACTCTGAAGATCTAGAGTTCTTAATGTTGAGGTTGGGGTAGAACTCTGGAGATCTAGAGTTCTTAATGTTGAGGTTGGAGTAGTACTCTGAAGATCTGGAGTTATCTATGTAAAGGTTGGAGTAGAACTCTGAAGATCTGGAGTTCTCTATGTTGAGGTTGGAGTAGAACTCTGGAGATCTAGATTATTAATGTTGAGGTTGGAGTAGAACTCTGGAGATCTAGAGTTCTTAATGTTGAGGTTGGAGTAGAACTCTGAAGATCTGGAGTTCTTAATGTTGAGGTTGGGGTAGAACTCTGGAGATCTGGAGTTCTTAATGTTGAGGTTGGAGTAGAACTCTAAAGATCTGGAGTTCTTAATGTTGAGGTTGGAGTAGAACTCTGGAGATCTGGAGTTCTTAATGTTGAGGTTGGAGTAGAACTCTGAAGATCTAGAGTTCTTAATGTTGAGGTTGGAGT